CGTTGTTTCAATTTGAATTTAAATTTGTTTGAATGATTGTAAGAAATGTACGTTTACATACCTTGCTGTAGCTGACTTTGCAGAGGTGCTCGCTGTTATTGGTTAGATTCCAGACGGCCCCAAGATGTTAACACAAAGCTTTGTTTTGTATTACCAAACTATGAAATAGCATCTGCGAAGCACAGAATAGAAGCGTATTTGAACGAAAAAGCCGCCGAACACATATCTATGTAAAGTAAACAAGCCCCCCGCTGCATCCCTTATTCGATAGTTTCGAAATAGTTCTAAATTCGACAAATAGGATCTAGTTCGTTCTGCATCCCTTTTTCTATAGTTCCGAACCAATTCTAAATTCGTCACTTTAGATATAGATTTGTAGTGAAAAAACTGAAAAAATTAGTTTCTTAAAAGTACCACTTTTCGCCGATTTTGAACTGGTGGGGATCTAGTTCCTATCGGACTAGTTCCTTTTTGGCGATAAAGACCTAGTACGGAACTAGAAATTTGATTCACTAGCCCGCGGTTTCCCTGCAGGGTACATATGCATATTAGTTTCGATTAACCAGATGTCCAATAAATATGTATGTATGTATGTACAACGAATATTTCTACTTTCAACGAAACTACTTATTTGACTTTAGCCGTTATAGCTTTGAATTTAACTGTTATATTATGAATTCGTCACGGATACAATTCACTTTAGTGCGTCCGGTGTGTAAGGGATATTAAGTGAGTCCGAATGAAGCTCTTATTCAAAAGACTGACGATTCAGAATTTTTAAAGATGCAAAAAATCCGCGGCCGCTGTGGTGTAGTGGTTAACAGTGCCCGCTACCATTCCGCAGAGCCTGGGTTCAAGCACAGTTTCCGACCAACATCAAAAATTGATTTACAAAAAAGTTTTGTCTAATAGCGGTCGCCCCTCGGCAGGCGATGGCAAACCCCCGAGTGCATTTCTGACACGAAAATATCTTCTCATTAAAATACAATCGCCTTTTGGAGTAGCGTGACTCTGTAGGTCCGTCCCCTTTGTGTGACAACATGAAGGCGCTCGCCACAAAGCGGAAGAGAAGCTCAGCCAAACACTAACATATCGGGTGTTCACAGTTCGTTCCAAATAGTGTCTGAAAATGTAGACGTCTACATTTTAAGACGTTTTCTAACCGTAAAATCTGTGGTGTTGTTGTTTCCCATACAAAATTGGAAAACGACGCCGTCTACATTTTATATTAGGAATTGGTAATTAAGTTAAATAATTACAATTTTTCAGAAACAAAATCGAAAGGCGATATATAAAAAATGCACGCAAAGAGGAAATGTCTGGCAACACCAGCAAAGTTTTGAGACGATTTTGCGACGACTGCTAGAAAGGGGTGCTCACAGTTTGATGCTAAAGATGTCTCAAAATGTAGACGTCTACATTTTCAGACACAATTTGGAACGAACTGTGAACACCCCAATATTGTGTAATCGTAGGGCTGCCAGATATCTCTGTTGCCAAACCGGGACACTTTGTGCTAAGCTCGGGAAAATTCAATAAAGTTGCGTACAAATTTGCAACATTCTAATCAGATTTTTTATAAAAATTTTTAAAATGAAGTTTTCCAGCCCATTAAATTTTAATTGATTTTTGGTATTGTTTTTACTGAGAGTTTCTTCCATACAAACCCGCTGCTCCGATAACACCCCCTTACATGAATTCGCCTTGATTAAATTAGTAACAACTATCTAAAAATCTACCAACTTTTACCAGCAAGAGGAATATCTTCTAAACAAAAAACCCTAGAGATATCTTATTAGCTTTGTTCCATTTTATCAGGTGTCTTTTTCTTTGTGAATTCGTTGCAATTTTTAGGACAATGTTTTCATTCGCAGTTAAATTTTGTAAGAGCTCTCATGAAAAACGAAGAATTCATATAAAATTACGCACAAGAGAAGTGGAAAATAAATTTTATTCCATCAATATTTCTTAAATCAGTTTGCAGCTCTCAAGAAAAAAATGCTGGTATACTATTTATTTCTTCAAGAAAATTTACAGCAAAAGCAAAGTGGTTTTTCAAGCAACAGAAATAGTAAAAAATATTTCTGGTGATTTTTCTTGAGAGCTGGGCTCTAAGCTTTAAGATACAGTTAGCCTCTCTAAGAGCAGGTGTGAGAGTCGGGTAGCGAATTCATTGGTCGTCTGTTGTGACTGCAGCTTTTCGACGTTAGGCTTTTTTGGCCGACATTTTTTGCTGCGCAGAGGCGGGCGCGTATTTTGGCTGCAACAATAGTGGTCCGAGTAAGTGTTTGGGCCTCGGAGTATACGTACGTCTAAAACACTGGAAGCGTGCCTTCTCTTTATCACAACATGATACATTTGGTTTCTCGTTTTTCGATCTGGAGACATCCACGTAGTTTGATGGCTCTTTTTGTGCTTGAACCTAGTACTGCCTACTAGCCTGTTTCGGGCCCCGACGAAGTCGATCAGACTCAGTCCACTGTCTGACATTTCGTCATGGAGACTGAATTTTCCGACGGTGGGTGCAAAGATCCCTTCCTTGCCCACCCTGGCATTGAAGTCGCAAAGCACGATTTTGATATCATGGCGGGGGAAGGGCTCGTATGTGCGCTCCAAGCGTTCATAGAAGCTACCTTGGACACTTCGTTCTTCTCCTCCTGGCAACATATAAAGAGATGTGGGCGCAAATCAGCGAAATGTTGAACAATGTTTTGATGCGGATGCGGAACAATCTTTTGATGTGACAGGTGTTCGTTCACCGGGGTGAATGGCAGTACTCGCGGCGAAGTCTTTCCCACCACAAATCCAACACCAAATTTGGCTCCTTTACGTGGCAGCTGTAGTAGACGTCGCATGACCTCAGGCATTTGTTGCCTTGCCCCGTCCAATTCCTTGGATGGCGGCGATATCAGCTCTTGTTCTTACAAGGAAACCAACCAGCCGAGTAGAGGCATCTTTCCCATTAAGGGTCCAGACAATCCAGGTGCTTGTCCCCAAATAGTACGTCTTTCAACGTTTGCCGTAGTCGCCATCAAAATAGGGGGTCTCATCCGAGGCTTTGCATATTTTCTTCACCTCTGGGAGGGTGGTGGTTTCATAACCGAATACACGTTTATATAGCGAGCCGGCTGCTCCAAACGCCCGTTTACAGCTGCACCTACTGATAAACAAACGCTGCAGACTTCAGTGAGCCCTTAAACCGAATAACTCGGAGTGGTCCACCGCAGCTCTCTCTCTTTCTGCCGTGACCCAAGGCTCCACTCGGATTGGTTACTGCATCTCGCGCATGTGTTTCACATGTTGCCCAGAGTTCGCGAACGAGGACGAAAGAATCGGGATGGAGTGCAGCCGTGCAATTGTAACTGCATACTCAGCACAACGACTAAACCCCATTGCGCGACAGCTACGACAGTAGTAATTCGCCGGAAAGGCAGAGATCTAATTATCCCTGATAACAGTCGCTTCGAATAAACGTACGGGTTCTGTTCTTATCCATCATGGGCCAAATTTGGCGTAATGCCCAGACGTTAGTTCTGTAGCTGATCATTTGTGCCAGTTCGAGGAAATTCGTCTTGAATCCGAGATTTTACGATTCCGCTTCCTGAAATAGTTTACGATCGGCACGTACCTGGGCGCAAATCGTAACATCCGTTCACGGATCGAAAACCGTACGAAAGAAATTACGTGATACGTCATTCGTATAATGTGAATGGGATAAAGAGTACGTTGACGTACATTATAATCCGAAAAATGTGTTTTTACGAGGCCCTGATTTTGCAGGTTCGTTCGCCTGCCAAAATATCTTTATGACCTGACCATTTCCTGTTCGTACTTCCAGCTCATTTAGAGTACTGAATCTGTTTGCGTGCTTTTTAAAGATCTAATGGTGAATTGGAACTATTGATGCTTCCCCATCTCCACTCTTTTACTAAGATAATTTCCGCCAGAGGTTCTGATAACTGCCTGCGGAAGAATGGGGTTGCAAGCGCCTTCATTATCAAGAAAGACTTCTGAAGTTCCTTCATTGAAGTCCAAAACCTTTTCAGTGTTAGCCAAAATTTGATAAAGTTCAGTATCTACATGACTACTCAGTTTTCATGACAGTTCTCTTGGATTTAACCAAAACAGGATGTACGAATTTTCTGAAGGCGCCCTCTTGGAAACTTGCGTTTAAGAATCTAGGCCATGCAAATAGAATGATCAGTAACGAATACATACGGCTTGGTACAGCTCTATTCTCCGTAGGTGGGTCTGAACCGGAACAACCGGCAATGTCACTTTGCGTACAGACAAACACTGTGATTGGGCGCAACCCAAGCCAAATAACACAGCCCCCACAAAAAAAAAGTGTCATGTACTTTTGACAGGAATACCCTACCCCCTTGGGGTTTTGTGCCCTCAACACGAATCTGAAGTCAGTTTTGCTCCATCACGTCAGGATTTATTTCTAACCTCAAAAAACGTGTCTGTCACATAATATCCGCCATATATTTGGGGGTTAGGAATAAATCGTGATTCATGTTCAGGACACCAAAACACAGCATATTCATATCAAAAGTACATGACACTTTTTTGTGGGGATGTGTTATTAAAGATGTTGACAAAAGGCTGATGGATCTTACCAGCGCGGTTACGGACTTGGTCAATAAAATATCAGCAAAGTATTCACAATATCTATCATATTCATCATCGGATAAGTGCCGAGAAAATAATTGGTGCAGTCTAGGGTGATTGACTCGGTTGTTCGCAACCGGTTTCAACTGGTTTTTTTTTAATATTGTTGGCGGTTTTTTTAATGTTGATTGTCCGAATACCGAGTAAACCGGATTTTTAAAATCGAATAAACCATATTTTCAACTAGTTTATGTATATACATACCCAGAACAAAAATTTATATATATTTATTTTGTTGAAAATGTATTTTATGTATATGTATCTCAATACTGGTAAATTTTCCACTGCAGAAAATTCCTTCAAAAATGAAAGGAACTTCGTCTAAATCAGTTAATCGACTACATACATGTCGTTTTCATTTTTATTTCGTGGCGTATATTGTGTTCTTAAGTTAAATAAATAATAATACATATTACATTATATGCACACACATATTTTGTGTCTATTCCAGCTTCATGTTATCTTGACCTATTAACCTAAACGTACCCCCTTCCTTGCAATAAATACAAAATCCAGTTTTCTTTCATTAGTCTCTTTGATGTCGCCATCATTGTCTTTGGTATCTTGTAGACTAGCCTGCTCATTATGGGACTCTCTTTCGGTCGCAGCAATATCATCTAAACTGTTAAAAAATTCTTCGTTTACCAAGCTATATCCCAAACGCTCTTCCTTCACGGCGATGTTATATTCTTCGAGATAATTATCGCCAATTGTAACAGTTTTGCCGATTTTTAAATAAGGGCCTGTTTCTTCTGTTAAAGCAGGCCAAGCCGGGGTATCTGGGGCTGTTGGTACTCCATTAGTAGCAAAAGAAGTCCAGAATGCAACCATGCGCTTAGCAATTTTGACGTCACGATTCAAATTTAGAATTCTAGCCCTCGGCCAAGGGAAGAGATATAAATTATCGTCGGTTAAAGATACTCCAAGTTCAAAAGGCATCAATCCTTCGATGTCTTCGCGGCTAGCGTAACGATTAAATTCGCCTTCGTAATCAAATGAATAAAGATAAGTGCTGTTAGCAAGTTTCTTTGCATTCGCTTGTAGCGTCAATAAAACAGGATTCTTAAACGGTATTGTGCTGCTCATCTATGAGTGTAATCAAATAATGTTAAAAGATTTTTCGATTTCTTATATGTGTACATATGTAAATGGCAATGTTAAGACTCACATCAATAAGACCGGGAAGGAGTTTCTGAAAAGAGCCGTTCTTTATATCCTCGCCTGTGAATATTTCTTCCTGTGCAAACTTCATCCAAGAACCTGCAGGATCAGCTCCATTAGTCTGGGATATTATGTGATCAATGTAGCCAATGCCATCAAGTTGGTCGTCAATAATTGTCTCGTTAAAGTTATCAATAAAGATGTCTGAAATCAATAAACGCATTTGGCGGTTTCTTTTGAAAACATGTATGTACATTAGGGTGGTCCTAAAATGCATTTGGAGGGAGGGGGGGTTAAGTCGGAATTTTAATGCTCTCACCCCCTAGGATTGTTCTATAACGAAAAAAATTATACTCCTTTTTATGCTGAAATCAACAAAATATTTTAGAGGTCGCTCAAAGCGCTCAAAGTTTTCCATGTATTTTATATGAGGAAAAAACAAGTTTTCCTAGAAATGGTATAGAATTCTTGAAAATCAATAGGGCTGTTCAAGATGTGGTGGAAATAGTCTGGGATTTGCAGTTGGGATTGCATTTGCAAACTTTATGCTTGCTGTCATGGCAACCGTGTGCATTTTATTTTTGTGAATTTACAAATGCAACGAATGCAAATTCAAGAGCATATGCACAAGATCCTGAACAGCCCTAATATTTTTTTCTATCGGAAAATTTTGTTTCTCTTCAGGAGACTGCCAATAAATATACAATTTTTTAATACTAGCGATTTTTATGGGTCCCCCATGGCATTTTTTTAGGTTTTTATGGGTCCTATAAAAAATAGTTAATAATAGAAAATGGTTAAATAAACAATTGGGTAATGTTACTGGAAGTCTCCTGAAGAGAAACAAAGTTTTTCGATCGAAAAATATTTGTTTTCAAGAATTCTATATCATTTCTAGAAAACTTGCTTTTTCCCATATAAAATAGATGGAAACCTTTGAGGCTTTGAGCGACAACTAAATATCTTTGGATTTCACAATAAGAAACCATGGGTATAATTTTTTCGGTATAGAACAGTCGTAGGGGGTGAGAGCATTAAAATTCCGACTTTTTTACCACCCTAATGTACATACATACATATATATATATTAAATCTTTCATCTTAACATTTACCTTTTAGTATAAAAGTGCCAGCATTTTTCACACTACCACCAAGCGTGGGATAAGCCTTAAAATCTTCTGATGCTAATAGCTTCCCTGGATGTTTTGGTAGTATTCCAGATGGACCGCCGATAACAAATTGCACCGCTCCATAGTTCCCCACGCCCAAATGAGCGTTGGCTTCACCGTGTGCACCGAACGCAGTCAATAACGCTGTCGTGTTCAGATTTCGCAAGCACTTGTTAAGCGCATCTATCTTAATGAGATTTTTGCAACCAGCGTGTTTGGATATGTCCTTAGCCGCCGGCAATGGATTGTCGGTTATGAAGGCAGGCGTTAAAGCCGTGCCAGATTGATAAATAACTCGGTGAAACAGACCATGTGGAACCTTAAGTTATTTTAGTTTTATTTGATTTTAAAATTTATTCGTTTGTATTAAGAAATACTGAGGCCGTTAAGACTTACCACAGGGCTCATCGTCAATACATTAATTATAGCAGAACCACCCACTTGGCCGAAAAGTGTAACCCGTGTAGGATCCCCACCAAAAGCGGTAATGTGCATCTGAATCCATTTTAGGGCCAAAATCACATCGTGCACCGCTGCATTTCCTGGAATGTCTTCGCTCATTGTGGATAAAAACCCAAACGGACCTAAGCGATAACGTATCGAAACCAGAACAATATCTTCTTCTAATAAATAACTAGGATTCGCTTGAGCGCTGCTGCCTTCGAAGAGGAAGTCACCATGAATATATACCATGACGGGTGCATTGCTACTGAGCTATTAAAAAAAATACAATGTACGTAATTTTTTAGCTTTTGAAATGTTCCATAAAGTAGTACATATTCAAGTGCAGATAAGCTAATTCTAAAAAATCAACGGTAATTTTTAGCTACTTGAAACTTACACATTGTTGCACTACAAAAGAATAGGCTATAAAACTGTATACTCAAAAAAATTCCAACACTTCTGAGAAAAAAGCAGCGTTGCCATTTTAGCCGTTTTCCGGCTAGATTTAGCCGGTTGCGACAGCAAACAGCCGGAAAAAATTCGATTTAGCCGGCAGCCGATTTGTTAGCCGTTTTGCAAAAAAAAATTAGCCGTTTTTAGCCGATTTTGCTCTTCGCCTTATTTTATTAAAATTCAAATATACAAGTTTTTATTTTTACAAATTTAGTGCTCCAAAATCTATTAGAAATGGCTAGTCTTATCTCTGAGAAAATTTTCATGTCGGACTGTGTTATATAAAATTGAAAAACAATCAGAAAGTGAGCCGATTTCAATGTTTTTTGTTTTAAGCGAGTGACACAAATACACATAAACTGGGACGCGTCATTTTAGCAGATTAAAAAGTTACAAGTTTTGCTGAAATTTTGCAGAATTTTCATAATTTTTACCCTAAGTGTGAAATCTGTTTGTAGTATATGTTGTTTGTTAAGTAATGAGCTACCTATTCATAAAAAATAATACATATCAAATAAACTAAAGAAAAATAGGCAAAACTTGCTTCAATTTTGCGTCCCAGTTTATATTTGGGAGAACGCAGCGGGAATTTTCTTCATACAATTTTTGTTATGAATGTCTTAAATTTAAGTGTGAAGTTTTATTCGCTACACTTAGAAAATAAAAGAGCACGAATTTCGATGTGGAGCAAAACTCTCTGGGAAGACAATACATGGTGCAAACATACTTTTTAAATTTTATAAAATAAAACTGCAGTAGTTTTCATCTTATGTGGATAATTCTTGTGACAAATACATAGTTTCGTGCTTATATTTTTTGTATATATATTTTTAGCAGCACCACATCTTTATCAGAAAATTCCGAGAATCCAAAAATTGGTACTGTTACAAGTTGCAGGCATCATTTTAACTCGACCTCTTTCCTGTTCCACGGATAATGGTACATCTTTCAGAGGTTTAAAGATATTTTGCGTCAGCAATTTGTTATCAACCTACGTACCCTACCTCGGAAAAGCAAAAAACTATATATTCGAACGTTTGCTCAGGTGTACCGCATTCTGGCAGTTTGGAAACGCGCAACACTTTTAGTATTTTCATCCAACTTCACTAACTTAAATTTTTTTTCTACTTTTTTAAGAAACAAAAATTTTTCTGCTATTGAATCTGGTGGCATGATTTTAGTTAAATGTCATAAACTTCTTAAAGGTGAAGTGGTCGGCAACAACAACGAATGTCAATAAATTAAACTACCTTCTGCTTTCACAGCTTTACCTGTTCATTTCTCAAAATATTGCCCTCCGACTAAGCAAAAGTGCCATACTTTCAGCTAATATAGCCATTTTGCGGGACAAAAAGCAACCTACTGAAAATGATCCAATATTTATAAGAAAGCAAAATTGTTTAATAGAAAAGAAAACGCCATAAGTTTTTAATTTACCTCTGTTTTTATATTTAAGTAATACAAACATGACTTCTGATGTAAAGCTTATCTACGTATAACGACAGTTTCCTTAGTTAAACAAAAATAAAGTGGTGTACAGCTTAGCTACGTATAAATAATCTTTATTATCCAAAAAAAATTCAATGGATTTACTAGTCTTTCTAATTGTAGTTTATGTATTTAAAAAAAATTCAATTCTGGTTGAAACATTTTAGCCGTTTTTAGCCGTTTTTTTTGTCCAATCTAGCCGGTCGCCCTGAAAAGTTCTGGCAACACTGGAAAAAAGTTTGAAATATGTTCATAAGACGTAGCTGTTAAGCTCATCTGCTACGAAACTGTTGGCAACTGTTGAACCCAACAATTACGTCTTGGAAACGGCTTGATGAATATGCTGCGAAATGAACAGCTGATAAATGTAAACAAATGAAATTGCAATAAATAGAGATAGTGGCGCCGATAGTATTCACAATTCAACGCTGAGCTGCCGCCGTGTTGAAAAAATCGTTCAATGTTATAATGAATTAAACAGTGTATAATTATACAGCAAACATCTTAAAAACATATATCGCTAGCTTAGAAAGAAAAGTTGCTAAGTCGCATTTTAAAAATTTTACAGGAGAGGAAAAAATCTTCCTATAGCCATTTTCTTTAACTATTTCGCAAGACTTTGAATCAAACATTTCGCGCGATTAAAGCAAAGCAAAACTCCATAAGAATCAGAAGTATTCGATATTTATTAAAAGATGTCGTATTATTTTGGCCTTATCGGATTTGTGGTGCTTCTTTTGGACTTAGCGAATTTTCCTTTTATTGCTTATGAAAAAATAAAACAAGTACCTTTATAATTTTCGAAACGATGCGTATTCAATTTCTCTAGCCTCCTGTATCAAAATATGAGTTTTCATAAAAAGCGGACTTAGCAAATTTTCACTCTAAGCTAGCGATATTTAGAAACGTAGTATTATCATAAAATATTTTAGTTACTTTATCACATCAGTAATATAAAATAGAATATATTTATTTGCAACTGCCACCTAACAAAGCGGCGTTAAATTTAATATAAGCGGTGTAAGTCTTTTCGATCAGCTGTTTAGGCTAAGCCGAACACGTTGAGTTCAGGTAGTGTAAAAAAGTTGCCAACTGTTGAGCTGAGCGGAACTACTCAACTGTGCGTTTCAAAGACAAATAGCCAACGGTTACGCAACAGCTACGTCTTATGAACGCGCCCAATGAAAATTTGTTGAATATTTTCTAGTTAAGTTTTAAATTTGGGTTTTATGGGTTTTGTTTGAGAATCAACCGTAATTTAATTGAAAATTCTTAAAAAAAAAATAAATAAACATAACTGGCAAACAATATCACTTTGAAATGGGAGTCTTATGGATTTGACCGATACTGTATGTAAGTACGTTAGAGAAGATTTTATTAAGTATCTCTTCTATAGGATTTTTGTACGAACTGGGAACTATAACTCACGAAATCATATAAAAGGACTGATTTGGTTTGAATTCAGTAACTAATGGTGATTTCTTTTTTACCAAAAAATATTGCCCTTCCCTGGTGCAAAATGTGATAGATGTTAAACTCAACCCTGTAAAAGGGCATGCTTTGGCCTCCTTGTCCGTGTCTACCTCACGCAATTCATAATAGGGCTTTCGCACGAGGCGATTTTTCAGGCAACTTTTGCGTTCAACTCACGCAGGGTGCACGAAAAAAAAAATTGAATAGCTAAAAATATCAAAATATAAAAAAGTATCAAAATATTCGCCATAAAAAGGCGTTTGCATTGTCCAACTTTGCATTCTACTTTTGGTTGAACGGCCTTTCAACTAATCGCTTTCAACAAAGTTGGTCGCCAGCCAACATTTAGCCATTCAACTTTTTTCCCTGCAACCCTGCGTGAGTTGAACGCAAAATCGCCTCGTGCGAACACCTTTTAATATTGTTGTTTTAAGCAACTATCTGATTTTCAGGGCAACCATCACCCCTGACCAGGAAAGCCAACTAGTGGGGAATTTCAAATTTTGCGGGGAATTCAGTTTGCGTGGGGAATCGGGGAATGTACCATTTTTGTCAGCAATTTCAGTTCGTTCAATTCTAGTACAACAAAGTTTCAAATGGCTAAAAATTACCGTTGATTTTTTAGAAATTTCTTTGTCGCATTTGCTTTCATATAAAGAATAAACACAATTTATTTTTATATGGAAGAACACCGCAACAAATTCGGCACAAAAATTCTAAAACAAAAATTTTTCCACACTTGAAACTTGCAGTAGAACTGATTGAGTTAATAAACTGCATACTCAAAATCTTTCTAGAAAATCTAATTAAAGGATCGAACTTTTTACGTAATTTTTTTTTTTTTTTTAATATTGTACAAAGCTTGAAACTTGGATTTATACGGTTTTCGTTAAGAGTTAACTACATAATTATAAAAAATAACTCAAATTAAATAACCAAAAAAAAACTTATTGTGAAAGCTTGGCAAAGTTTGGTGCGACTAAAATTTTTTCGACCACTGTATTATTATTATATAAGGCTCATTCCACGGTGACGGGTGTGATATTTCAACTCACACTTTAAGAAAGTTTAAGTTGCTAAAGAATCGGTTGTCGAATATGCTAAATTACGTTCTGCTAAGAAGGAACATAATGCTTTTGCGAGCGTGCGTGTTGCAATAGATCTGCTCTTCCTGATTTGGCTTTTAATATGCAATTGAAAACATTGTAATAAGCCTTGTAACCTCAAGTGTTTACACAACCAGCCTTTGAAAGCGGGATCCTTAGTCCAAGAATAAAAGAAAAAAAATGCGCGTACACTTGGTTTGCATCATATTTAAGTCATATGTGTCCAAAGAATAAATATGTTTTGAGGCGACTGCTGCAAAAAACGAAGCTTGTAGAGATTTATTAAGAAAATAATTCAAAATCAGTTCTACTTACAAGATTCAGTAACAAATTTGCCGAAAGTGTGAGAGTAAGGTCTTACTCTACAAGCAAATAGTACGCTATACATTGAATATATTTTGCATAGAGAAAAATTACTGGAAAGTTAAAAAAACGTAATTTTTTACACAAAAAACGTCCAAATGACGTTAAGAACGTCAATCTGGAAACGCTGATTGTATGCCTTAGTAATTGTAAAGTACCTTATTTTTAAATAGTATGAGGCTATTACCTGTCAAACCGAGGCCGTTACCTGTAAAAACCGTTTTAGATACTTTTTTTGCCCCGACAAACGAAGTAATAGTTTCTTTTTATCCGTGACAGCATAGCTTAAGTTTTCCCATCGCTCGAGCAACATATCTTTATGATTAGCTTTATCCTCGCTGATCACAAACAGATATATGACACATTTCAGATTAGCAGATTAAAAAG